ACTCAACTCCCAGAATTCCCAGCCAGCATGGCTGGCTGGGGAATTCTGGGAGTTGAAGTCCACTCATCTTAAAGTGGCCAAGTTTGGACAACACTGTCCTAGAGATATTGAATGGTGTAATCAGAGGGATGAATGTGTTCAGTGGACGAGAAATGAAAGGGAGCACTCATCAAAACCCAAATACCTGATTAAGTGCACTTATTTATTTGAGATATTTGTATACCACTTCCCATTAACAACAACAAATCTCTACGTCTGCCATGACAAATGAATGAAAACAAACCTTTAATTGGGGAAATAGTCATCATGGGTGGTGCATACCAGTTAAATCTTGCTGGAACGTGTGATCTTTAGAAATTTTTGTCCTCAGAAGGTTGCTCAATCTTTGCCATTTGATAATGTTTGGATATGGTTTGGAAGATATCCACATCTATAATGATAAAATTCAAGGTAGTAGTGAAGCATCCTGCACTGTCAGACAGGTGTTGACTGTTTTAATCCGTGCTACAATCATTAATAGGACTCAACAAGTGGCTGACTTTTGGGTTTATTGGCTGAATCAAGAATGCTTAAGTAACTGAAGCAAATAATTATTTTATTCTTTGGAAGTTAAAGAGCGTTATATTTGATAGACAAAACCTTTCAGGATGCCTGTCTTTAAAAGAAATAAGCCAGCATGGTTGGAGGGTTAGAGTTCAGCGTCATTACAGATTTTTTCTTTTCCTGTTTCAGATTCATCACTGTCTATAGTGGACCTTGCCACACCTATAAAGTGCAACGGCTTAGTGAGTCTACAACGTATTATTTTAAAATCCAGGCGTGCAACGATGCAGGTGAAGGGGACTTTTCCGAAGTTTATGCATTTGCCACCACCAAATCACCACCACCTGCCATGAAAGGTGAGGGGCATTTACACAGGTTAACGAATGAAGGATGCTCACGGTTTGAGCAAGGGGGGCTCAGATGATTTGACCCATTAAAAGGAAAGGTTCTTCAATACAATCTATTTGCTTACGCTTTGATAAATGATACTTAAAAGAAAAACAGTAGGGATTAACAACAACAAAAAAAGGTTACAAAATTTCACAGCTGGGCAGGAGGCAAGTGCTTTGCTATCTGAATGTGGAGATGCTTGCTTTATTTATTTATTTATTACATTATTTATCTACTATTGACGCCAAATGGATTCCCCAGTTACCATATATCCAGGCATAACAAACTCCGTAATAATTACATTAAAGTATGGACCTAAATCAGTGTTTCTCAACCTTGGGAACTTTAAGATGTGTGGACTTCAACAACCAGGATTCCCCAGCCAGCTGGCTCGCTGGGGAATTCTGGGAGTCGAAGTCCACACATCTTAAAGTTCCCAAGGTTGCGAATCGCTGCCCTAAATTATAATCAAGTACCACCCTTCTTCTGTCCTTACCAAGCAACATTAGGAATGGAATACTTTTTGGAATGTTTCTGTTTTTCCTGCCTTTTTAAAAGCCAGTGGGGGTCCTGTCAAATATCTGGGGGTAGCTGTTGGTTAGCTATGTTCTTTTTGCCTCCCCACCCTTTTTTTTTTTTTGCTGCCCAAAGTAGTTTTGAAAGAAATTAGTTACTTTTGTTAAAGGCAAGATGTTTCTCCTCCTCTCGCTTTGCTTTTGAAAAACTTAAGATGACCCCCAGATAAAGAGTATAAAATGAACTGAAATACAGAATACACAGTAACTAAACTATTCAAAGAATTTAGTATTCTTCATCATCTCCCCCAAAGAGGGTAATATAACCCAGTGGGACAGCAACGGGGGGGGGGGGGCCATTAAAATTGTCCAAGAAGAATTCCAAAGCCTTTGATTTCAGCAGCGTTCTCTTAGTCATTTCCATCAAATCTGTGTTTGAAACAGTGAGAATCAATCTTGTAAGATAATTTTAATATGCTAAGAGGCTCAGCTGGATAGAAGAAGAAGAGGAGGAACAGATTTTGGTACAGTGATTCTAAACCAAGTTGTACTTTCAAATCCCACTCTTTCACTAGTGGGAGAGCCTTTTTTAAGGTTTTGCTGATAGTAACTAGTATGAACCTAGTTTGGCAACTTTTTGGAGGGAGGGGGGTGTCAGAAAGCAAAAATAAAGCAACCTCCGCTTAAAAAAAAAAATTGATGTTTCAGCCACTTAGCAAAGATGTGAACAAATGGGTTAAATCATGTGTATATTCCTCAGCATGAAATATAGTATTGGGATTTTCCTGTTTTTCTCTTCTAACTGCTCCTGTTTTCTTGATGCATTGGGGGAGATCTTGCATGTTGGATAAAAGCAACTGTTTCCTTTGGAGAAGCAAGATCCATACCATATTAAGTTGGCTATTACCAAATATTTGAAACTTCAGGAGAGGATTTTATTTCTATGGGCAGAAATAAAAAATTCTTTCATTGCTTGTAACGAAAGCCAGAAGACTTCATCATATAGTTTGGGGGCACAGAATCATAGCAAGGAAAGCAGATCAAATTCCAGTTTGCCTTAGGACGTATTGGGTGGTCTTTTGCAAGCTATTAGCATGGCTCAGTTAACACCAACTCTTAAAGTGTACAGGAGTCCCAGTTTAAGAACGAATTCTGTTTGAATGTGTACGTAAGGCAGAACAGTATTATTGCATCATACTGTATAAGTAGTATTGTGTAATGAACTCAAACCACTGTATATTTAACTTGAATCACTGCATGTTTAACTCAAATTTGCTACAACAGGCTCCGTTCTTAACTATGGGTCTTCTGTAACCCAGGCGCCAGGGACTACCTGTAATGTGGTTTGTTTGGTTTTCTCACTGTATGCTTTCAAACCAACTGTTCCTTCAACAAAGCATGGTTTCGTTCAATGTGTAACTCAATCTAAAGACCCCTCTGGGTCATCCTGTTCGGTTATAATTCTAGTCAAGTGTTTCAGTATTTCTCCATCACAGTCCCCTCCAATTGATTGCAAATTGTGGAAGTTGCCTTTCCAAAACAAAGACTAAGGTGGGGAGGGCTGAAATGCAGAGTTTACCTTCCATTCAGGGAGACCAATGAATGCCTGCTCTTTATTATTATTAGCTAAAAAGAGGATAATATTTAGGATGAATGTTTTAAGTTCCAAGTTATGGATCTTCAATTGCAGCACCCAAAGTCCATCAGCTGGGAGACAATGCCTGCGAGGTCACCTGGGAGCCTCTACAGCCAATGAAGGGCGATGCCATTGTTTACATATTGCAGCTTGCCACTGGGAGGGAAGTGGATCAGGTAATCTCAGAATGATCTTTTTTACAGATATTATGGGGAAGTGGATTCCCCCCCGAATAATTCTTAATGCATTGTTAATAAAGGACCCTCATTATCGCATGAACGTTTCTTCTGAATGAGAACATCTGGTGGCCTCTCACATACTATAATCAAAATCAGGCTGAATCACAGTTTACTGGATGCTGTGTAACCTATTACCTGAATCCATCCACCCAGCATTCGCCTGAAAGTTGCCCAGATTGGAAAACATTATGTTAGATGTATTCCGGATTGCAAGCAATCTAAAGCCATTTGGAAATGACCATTGCCAAAGAGCATCTACTTCTCAAGTAGAAGGTCCCAGGATTTCCTTGAAGGGCCAGATTCTGTCTGAACCCCAAGAAGAGAGCCGCCACCAGTAAATGATATGGAGTTCATAGACCAGTGGCTCATTCAGTATAAGGCAGTATTTGGGATCCCCAGCAGGATAGCTATGAGCACCAAGGTACACATGTCCAGGTCTTTCAAGAAGCAGGCTCTGTGCCCCATCTGATGTTTTAGATGTTTTCAAAAGTGGTGTGCCACAGAGCACAAGGCCAGTTCCAAGCACAGCTTTATTTCCAAGGGACCACAGTGCATAGTGTGTCTGAAGGGGTGCCCGCCTGCCCTCGCAAAAGCAGAGGTGCGCTTAGGCAGAAGCACCTGGGAGGCACTGAGTCAGTGCTGTGACCAGCAGCAACTCCACCAGTCAGTGGGTGTTCCAAAACTGTCCATACCCATTTTGGGAACGTGACCAGAAGATCTCAGAATTTCAGATGGGCCCCCTTCTGGCTTAGTAGAATCCAGTTGCCTTTTTTCTCAAATTTGTTGTGTGTCCTCTCCTGCTCTTGCCTCAGCTCTACAAGGGACCAGAGACTTCCTTCCGCATCCCCAGCGTGCAAACGAACTGTGAATATCGATTCAGGGTGTGCGCGGGGCGCCAATATCAGGACTCCACTGGATGGCAAGAACTCTATGGCCCATATAGCCCAAGCACCACCTTCTCATCTCAGAAACAGGAGCTGCTTTCGCAGTGTTCAGACCCAGGTCCTGAACTCCTGAAAAGCAAGCGGAAGGCGCTCAGCGATGAACAGTTTGCGTTTCTGCTTCTTATAATCTTTGCAACGGTTGCCATTTTGTTTGCTGTTATCATTCAGTACTTTGTGATCAAGTAAGTCGGTGGCCATGAGAAGTGACTTCCTTACTCAGCTTATAATTTTTCATATGGAAGTTTTACGCCTTGGGTATTTATGTAAATTCCAATTAAAATGCTAGCTGGGAATGATGGTATAAGACACACATTTCCATTTTTGCTGCTGACTAACAGGTTGGATGGACAGAACTCCTCCTCCTCCTCCCCCACCCCACTCTTCCGTGGAGAAGCTGGGGGGGGAGGAGGCAGGGCAGCTGGAAGTGAAGAACATCCCTATTACAGCACAGTGGTGCATCTTCTAATCAGGGTGAGCTGTTCAAAACAGCCAAAAAAAACCTGCCTTAATTCTCAGAGTTTGACTTAATTCTCACAGTAAGACCTGAATTCTCAAGTACGGCAAGGAGAGGAGCAAGGAGGGAGGGCGGGAGACACGCCTGCTGCTCCAGCGTTGGGGACGTGGTGGGATGCAGCAGCAGAGATGCTCGTGCTGAAGACAAGACTGTAGGACGCGGCTAAAGTACACCACCTCTGATAAGCTGTAGATAAAAATCCAACCCAGATGTTATCCAGATTGACTTCTAGCAACAGCGCAATGTTAATTTTTCCAGTTCTTTTAACTGGGAGGGTTCCTGGAGGCCCCCATCCCTTCCAGAGCCCAGGGCAGCAGCAGGGGTCTGCGTTTGAGTTTTTAATCCATTGTGTTCAAGGCATCACATTTACCTACGCACAGAGGGATTTGCGTTGGTCTGAAATGTGGCAAGAGGCTCCCCCCTTCTAGAAACTGTACATTTCTGATTGAAATGCTTCCTCTTGTTGGTAAACGGTTGGCCCAACTCACCGTCTGCTCTCAGTGCCTGAGAGACTAGGAACGCCCTGTGCTTCTAACTTAAACCGCTGCAGCGCTGGTTTCCTTTGTTTTCCGAGGAAAAGCACAGAATTTTTTTGTCTTTGATGAGAACAAAAAAAAAAGTGCATTTATGATAAATGTTTCACTATTTGGCTCAAACTGAGCAAAATGTTTTTGTACTATTCTTAACGTGAAATTAAAAATCAACTCTGGGGGATCTTTCTGTTCGGTTTGTGTCCTGGGGTGCCCTTCTAACGTCATCCAGCTGATCAAGTCACATGTGAAAATTACTTTTTCCCCCCCTTTCCGCCCCCCAAAGTTAGGTCTAAGTTTTAACGTAATCGTCGCCTCTCTCGTAGCAGTTTCGTGTTCCGCGGTTTTGTCTTGTGATTCAAGCCTTTTCAGTTCGTGATGGAAATTTCAGTAACATCTCCGGCTTTGGGTTCAGTTGTGTTTTGTTTCATTTGTTTGTTTGGGGGGCGGGTGGGAGGGCGAATATCATGCACTACAGAGGGCCTGTTCTTTGTAATGCCCTCGCAGCAAGTACCTGTAAAATAAAAGTAATTGAACCTTGTCTTTACAGTCATGCTACTCTGAAAGCTGGAAACCACCCATTTTGTTCTTTGGAAGAAGAGGAAACTCAAAAAGACTAGGCATTTTGTTGAGTTTTACATACTGGTAGGGAGTGAAAAACTAAACTTTACGAAACATCCGAATGCTTGTACTTGTATATGGGACAGTGGACGTAACTTGTAAACTCATTTTTAGCTTGAAACTGTCTGTTTCCAAACAGTAGAACTGGCTGTTAATTCATCATGATAGCTTATGGTTTGTGGCATTGTGTTTGCATTTCACACCTGAGGGAAAACACACACACACACACACACACACACACGTAAATGATATCATATCACTTACTATCTTAAAAGTAGATTTATGGTGCAATCTGAAATTTATCTTTTTTTCCCCCCCAAAAAATGTACTCTCCTCTTTTATGTGATCTATTTATTTTGATTTAAAAAAATTCTGGAAAATGTATGTTTGAATGTATTGTTCTACTTGTAGCAGAACTTTTAAGTTAATCATTTATTGTAATGGAAGCCTCTGCTCAGTGTTGAAAAGAGTTTTATACAAATGTTTGTGTCTTTAGTTTGCAGGAATGTTTACAACCTGTTCTCCTTCGTTTCCTTTCATACTTCACTTTTTTATAAAATAAAAATAGATTTGTCTTCAGCAGATTTCTGTTGCGAAAGTGATAAAAAAAAAAAAGTGGGGAGGGAAAATCTCACTGAATTGGCAATAGTGTGAGAGAGACATTTTTTAAATTAGGTTTTCTGAATAAAATACTAACCAAAATTATGACTTCCTAGAAAGTTAAATCTTTAATTTGTATTTGTAATTGCCACAAAATGTTTATATTTCCAGGAAGTTTACTGGAAAGCATAATGTAGAATTTTATATTTACAGCTATACATTCCAGATTGATGTACCTAGTGGCATTAATGTATTAGATCTCCTTTTCTCTCGTATTGTAATTTTTGCTGTATTTCATACTTATGTTAAACCTGCCAGGCATCGTATTACTAAATTGTAACTATCAAATAGATAATATATTTAATATGGCCAATAAAAATAAAAATTGTTCACATTTGGGATTGTGGAGTCACTGTGCGTAATCTATCACACTGGGCAGTGTACAAGAATTGACCAGAATCGTAGACCAGACATCTTCCATATCCTGCTGTATTTCTTTTTAACACCATCCACAAACAACAACATAGTTTTTCATCTGCACATGGATGAAATGTGCAGATGGATCCTTGCACCTTGCGCACACGTGCCTTTTTTAAATTATTCCATGGGCAAGATTATGGATATATTTTCAGCCAGCTACTATCAAAGTTAATGTTCAAACTACCTGAACCTGGTGTCCTCTAACCTCACAGAACATTTCTATCTAGAGAGTATCAACTGAGCTGGACCACATGACACTGATTGATGTGCACTGAAATACTTCTGCATCAGATGTGGGTAAATTAGCTAACAATTCAGAGGATTGCATGAATCCAGTGGTGTTTATCTGCAGCCTGTCCATTACAATCAGAAGAGCTTGCATTGTTAGAACAGCCAAAAATCTGATGCTAAAACGGGAAGAAAGTCCATTTGCTCTCTTTTTGGTTTAAAAATTATTCCTTACTATAGTTAAAGAAAGAGGAAGCATTAAACTAGGAGCAAACAGTCCCCCCCCCAAAAAAAACCAACCCCAGATGCCAGCATTTCCTTCCCTTATATTTTTATACACAGTTAAAAGATTGATTTCTACAAAGTACATCTTCAAGTTTTTACAGCACAATGCTGCACAGGGTGCAGAGGGAGGCATTTATGCAAATTAAATGCATCCCACAGCAAGACAATGACTGGTACTCTGTGCTGCTACCTCCTTTTCTTAAAAAAAGCAATTTTACGTTAAAAAGCCCTGTTTTTGATTCCATGAACTGTAGGGCTGCCCAGTGGTTCAACACACACACCACCTCTCTGAAAGGTATTAAAGTAGGCATACTATGTCCCCTTAGCTAGAGATGATCAGGATGATACTCTGGCAGATCTGGAATGTAACAGGTTTGGCTAGAAAGGGAAAATTGGGTACACTTTTAAACTCAATTAGAAAGCAATCAGCTGCTCTTGGGAGAAGGGAAAACTAACGCAATTTCGATTTTTTTTTTTTAAGAGAGGGAGGGTATCCCAAGAGTAATAGGGCTGAACAGATTTTCTTCTCCAAGTCAGGAAAAAGTCTTTATTCTGAGAAGAGGAATTTGACTTTGGATGTTAAAAGAAAAACATCCCACCATTATTCTTACAAGTAAAATTGCATTAGAACAGTTCTAAAGAAAAATTATACAGCCCTTTAAGAACTAATATTAAAATCAAATCAGAACTTGACAAAATCAGCCATCATTGTGTCTGGGTAAAAGATGTCAATGTTATTTTGAATGATATTCCAAAACTCTGGAATTTGACCGTTTTTAAACAGTTATATTGGGCATACGGAATAGCAGAGAGAGATTGGGAACATACCATCCAAATATCAAATAATAGATTTAAGTAATGTGCAATTCACCCATTTTTGAAAAGGCTTTTTTTTTCTCATTAATCCCCTTACCCCCCAAAAAAACACAATATTTGACATTGATTTTATATTTTACTATATTTTACAAATTTCTATGCATGATTTATTATATGATTGAATATATGCTTCTTATTTAGCGTATTAATTTTAGGGTTCTTTTTCTGTTTATTTGTGTTTTGATATTACAATTTCATAACTAATTTTGGGGATATTGCTATTTTTCTTTTTTTTCTGTTTTCTATGTTTCTCTTTTTAAAATCACAAAATTTTAAAAAATGCATAAAGCCAGCTCAGAATACTTAGGCTCAGAAATATTTAACAGAAAAACACCTAGCAAGAGTGGGAAGTCAGTAACTTAGCATTTGTTTCATCCTATGATGAATCATCTTCCAGAACTACTTAGTTTTGTGACATTACCATCTAC